GTCCGTAAATGTGACATTTTCACGACATTGAAGAATGTTTTTCTGCGACTTTGTACTATTGACGGTCCACAACATATTATTGACCGCTGGTGGACAGTTGCCGGGAAACAGTAAAATTTTGTGACTTTCACGTGGTACACTCTCGACCAATAAGATACTAGGAAGAGTGAACTTTGACACTTGATATATAATAATGCAATTTAATATATCGACTATATTTCTTTGCTGTACGTGCTCGTGGGTCCACTTGAGCTTTGAACATTCAATGACGTCAAGAGTGTGTCAATAAGAGTACATACAACGAATGACATAGTGACGTCACAATGTGTTTACATTGTAGCTAGAAATTTGAAACTATAACTATTTGTTCCGAAAGTAGAACTTTACTGATTGCTCATTTGCATTTTATTTGATATTCAGTCAGTATGATCCCCTATGGCGATCGTAATTATCGAGGTGTCCGTATTACTGAGGTGTCCGTAATACTGAGGTGTCGGTAATAGTGAGGTGTCCGTAAAGCGAGAGCTGATGACAGCTCTTAAATACTTGGAACATTAGGAATAAGCGAAATGAAAATGGTACACTTTGGGATTTATTTGTAGTATTTTTCAGTAAGTGTTCCGTTTTTGATGTAATGTTTAAAGTCCTCCAATTCGGACTGTTGGACGGGATTTCAAGTGCGCGCATTAGACCAATCCCGCAGTGCTTACATGAACACGGAACAATGGATTCATCGAGGCTTGAGTTTTCGACAAAAGATAAAACTCTGGCCTCGAAATGATTATTTATTAGTTCTTAGACTGAAGCTAATTGCATTGACTTAAAATCCCGCCCAGTTCAAATAGGACTTTGAACGACTTCTCATACTCATTAATTATTTGAGAGGAGAAAAAAGCGAAGCAACCCAGGTTTTCAGATTTTCCATAATTCGCGCACGTTTTCTGAACAAAAACTATTCAAATTTTCTGTGTCTGCTATTCATGGCATTCCTATTGAGCCTAATTCATAAAATTTATAAGTATATTATAATTTATCTTCCGAGCAATCGCATCAGAAACTCGATGATGTAATGGTATTAGACAACACATATAGAACAGGATTGTTGGGGATTGATTCGTGRGTCAGTCATGTATCAAAGAAATTTTTTCACTAAATCAATTCTGTACTAAAGTGATTATTTGCTATATGAATTGATTATTATTATTTATAGTAGTAGCTGGAAATAATGAGGTAGAAGTAACTGGAAACAAGGTAGGACTAACTGGACTAACTGGACTACAAGGTGGTCCTGAGTAACTTTCTCTGGTTTCCAGTTACTGCACGTGGTACAMATTAAAAATCAGGAATTGTCTCTTGATTAGTTAATGAGTGTGAGAAGTTGCCACAAATATCTTTYAAAAACCAATCAAATTGCGCATTAAAAAAGTCAAACCATTACCGCAAGCACTCGGATTGGTCAGTACTGAGGAAACTGTAATTTCAATAATTACGAGACGACGTGCATTCCCTCACGGACAGTCGTACCATCATGGTCGATTCTGAAATTTCTGATCTTTCCATTATGGAACTAAACGAGTTCTACTAGAAAGGGAACAAAGAGCTTTTTGGGGAGATGAAAGAACAAGAATGCCGGGGGAAGAGGATAAGGCAAGTATGAGGATCTCTCACTTCATAGCCGACGGTCTATTGGCAAAAAGTGAGCAACGACGCCAGGAAAATGTCTCGACAAATTTGGAGTCCTAAATGAGGAGAATGAACATTCATTCTGTTCGGCTTCTACCACTTCTGGATATTGGGCTGGGGATAAAAAGATTAAAGAAAAAGCGAAAATGGCCAAAAGAGCAAAGAATTTTSACTTGGAATAGAACAATTTGACATTATGATCGAATCTTTTAGGCACTAATTTCATATGGTGTATGAAAATTTTCATTTTCCCCGATTTGAGACTAACCYTGCATTCCCATTAGTCCTAAGGTATGAGCCTTCTGAAATACAGGGTTAGCCTCAACTTGGGTAAAACGTAAACTGTTAGCACTATTGTACTAACAACATTTTCTCGTGCTTTCTTTTGTGTTTGGTAAGGTGATCTCTGCGTAGGAGAATCTGCTTTCAAATAAAACAGCGATTATTCTCTTTGAATTGGTAATTCGCTTTGAAAATGGAGTATTAAAACCACTTCTTTCGCCCTTTTTTTAGCGATGTTTACAGAAATGGTCTGCCATAAAAATAAAATACTTATACCCATACTTGGATATCAAGGACCTATATTGGCCATCTTTCTCATATGGCAAAAAACTTAATAGCCACTAAAAAGACACTTGAGGGGTCGTAACGTTTGCACTGACATTGAAGAACTATCTTCGAGACGTCAATACCACACCACAGCAAAAAGGCTGTCATCTATCTCAAATYTTATAAGAAGGTAATGGATCCCTGTTTTGCATTCAAAACATCTTCAATGGGTACTTAAAAGAAACTCAAGTTCCCGGAAAGCTTTTATAACGTCCTTGATAAGTGGCCACTTTGGATCTTACAGAGTAATAATATATTACGASYCCTTTGTTTGTAATTACTTGTCGAGCAAGTCAAAACGAATGTAGAAGAAAAAAACGGCCAAAGTTATAAGAACCAGTGCTGGCCAATATAMTCAATATGTCAACAAAGTCGCTTTGGAGTGACCCAAGAAATATTTTGATAACCATAATATTCATTCTCATCATAGTTCTTGGAATTCCTGGGAATACTCTGGTAGTTATTGCTGTTTGGAAAAAGCGTTGGCTGCGGTCAACAACAAACTATTTAATCTTAAACCTTGGAGCTTCAGACGCCGTCACACTGTTCTTCAGTGTGCTCGCAGCAACTCCTCTTGTTGTCAAACTACCCGAAGGACATTTTTCGGATTTTCTCTGTAAATTCATGTTTTCTTATCATGTTCCTTTCACTGCAAGTATTGTGTCTATTCTTACTCTAGCTTTAATAGCCATTGAGCGATACCACGCTATTGTCAAGCCAATGAGAACAGGCGCCAGACTGAGAGAAGGAACCGTTGGGCATGCCATCYTRGTCATTTGGATCTTTGCTATGTTGGTTTCATCACCTTTATACTATCATGGAAGCTACAATGATACTAAACAGGAATGTCGACAAAATTATGGTGGAAAAGACGTATATTTTCACATCTATAACGCTGTTCTTGTTGCAACAATTGTATCGTCAACTCTCTCTATAATGTGTTTTTGTTATCTACAAATAATCCGTGATCTCTACTTTAACAACTCCGTGGTTCCACAAAATGTCGCTTCCGACGTCGASAGACGYGAAAAACAAAAACTTTTAAGGCTTTGTTTAACAGTTACTGTTTTTTTCGCTKTCTTTCTTGTGCCATTTGCCATTGCTCTTGTGATGGCAGCTTTTGGGAGTCCAAAAAGGTACTACAAGTTCGCCGCCGTTTTGTTTTTCTCTGAGTCTCTATTCAAYCCTTTGATTTATGCCTTGCAAAGTAGTAATTTTCGAAAAGCGTTTAAAGAGTTATTGGCTTGCAACCGCATTACAAGGATACATGTTTACGGCATAAACCGGAGGTAACTTAGGGATCGAAAAATATTCTTTTTGAATTTAACAAAAAGCAAGAAAAATGTCTTTTTCCGACAGACAAGCAATTTTTCTTGAATCCAGGTGAATGGAATCCCTTGATATATGCCATCTAAACTCCTTCAGGGCCCTTAGGCCTCGTTTCCTTTGTTTTCTATTGTTTCCTATTCACTTCCGGCTTACGTCGTAAGCATTTATAGATATTAGATGGTTATAGAGTTGTTAAGTGAGTTGAAAATACAAATGTAAGCGTTTTGAAAGCTGATTGCATATTTGCATGATAAGTGAACTTATTGTGTTAAAAATATACTAATAAAACGTCTAAGTTAGTGTATGTTGTCTATGATGAATAAGTGGGCTATGTTATGTCTTTGAGGCGAGAGCTAATTATAAGAGCTATTCTTAGAAGATTATTTTTTGACTTTTGGTAAAGAGGAACGCTGAAGGACGCATGAAGGCGATATATAAGCGGTTTTTGAACATAAAACCTTTTTTGACCTTAAAAACGTTTGCCAGGAACAAACACTGGAAAAAATCGCGCGCTTTTGATGTAAATATGATGTAAGTGTCCAAAATTCTGTAACTTAATGGAAATATTTTACATCAAATTTACAGAATTTTGGACACTTACATCATATTTACATCAAATTTACCCATTAAATTTACAGAATTTTGGACACTTACACCATATTTACATCAAATTTACAACCTTTAAAGCGCGCGATTTTTTCCAGTGAAAATTAAAGAAGGAAGGGCGCATCATTTGCTTGTGAGATTGTCAACAATGTATAGCTCAAAATACTTTTCCCAGGAAAWMAATTCGTACAAGAACAGTTATTTAGAAGAACAGACCTCCGTCGGCTACTCRTGATGTTCTAAACGAACATGATTAAAACAAAGAATGATAAAATGTTGTATTTTAATGCGAGTAAAAAAATTGAAAAGTTTMAATTATCATATGAAACCCAATAATTGACTACATCTATTTTCATAAAAGATCGTGCATATTTAATTTGACGAAATGCTCTACCATTGTAAAAAACTTCTATCATATAATTATCTGTAAAATATTGTAAAATGAGCTCTTTTGGGTTGGGGTGACTTGAGCTACACGCCTGTAGCTGTACGAGAGATACTCCGTGTACAACGTTATTGCTGGTACTTGTATCAAGGTTCTWTACATCTAAATCTTTGAGTTAACTGAGCGAGCGAGCCTGAGAGACTCTCGGTGCKAGTGTAACAGTGACTAACAGTACAAGAGGAGTCGACGGTTTCCTGGGAAAAATATATCTGTTCTTATGTCCCAGCCAGCTGTAAGTCACAACTGGTTGCCAGCAAAATTATATTACATTTTTTTATTCCAGGAGAGAAATAGGTGCAAAGAATTTTTCCCAGGAAACTCTTTACGTCCATTGCAGGAAGGAAAATCATAAATATCTTTTAAATACTCGATCGAGTGCTTTAGCGAGCCGAAGGGAGAGTTTTTCCCACCCTGGAAGGTGTAAAATGTATAAGAACAGTTATTTAGAAGAACAGACCTCGTCGGCTCCTCCTGACAGTATCTCTGCGTCTCTGYGTCTCTGAGCCTCTGAGTCCTTGAACTAGTTTCATGTATCGGAATATGTTAAGATTGCATTTACATAACAAGGCGTTTGGCCATTAGTCAAAATCCTAAGAAATATGTTCTGATGAAAGACTAACATTTTTTGTCGTACATAGATCGATACTTAAGAACTAGTCCTATTATTGTGTTATTTTACTGATACTGACGAGAAGTATTTWTGTTATATAAAACCTATTTTCCTTGATAAAACTTTTACATTAAAACTGCAAACATGATGCTTGCTCAATAATTTACGATATTTGTCCAGATCTATATCGTTCGTGCCAGGAAATGGCAAGGAAAGCCAAGCGTAGGAGGTGTGCCAAACAAGCGTATCCGAGATGAACAAGATGTATTGCCAAATTTCATATAGTTATAATTGTACTAGCTCGATAGCTAGTTGATACAAAATACGATAATTTTAAATGTAATATTTAGCAATATTACAATATCTATATTTCTCCATTACGCGGTTATTTTCACTATATATTGGATGTAAATAAGTAATTTTAAAAAATAATTTGCTTTCATGTTRATTATATGGTAAACAGAATATTACATGATCGATTGGAGATACGAATTTTATCTTCTCGTGTTGAAAATCTCGCTACACTTATTCGTGAGAGATCAGTCTTTTCAACACTCGAAGAGAAAATCCGTATCTTTGCGCGCCATGTAATATCCTCTATTTCTCAAACAATTTATGTAGTTTTGAAGGTTCTAAAAGGCAATGGATGGCATATTTTGATATACGCAAAAAGCAAAAAATAAAATAACGTCATTGAAACCTAAAAATATCATTCCGAAACTCTTCTCCCACCAGTATCATTCCTAAAACCTGTTAAGCACACTTTCTACTGGTTTAACCTGTTTAAAACGGCTATCCAGCTGTGCGCGTTGATTAAGAAGAGTGATTTAAGCATCTGTTAGTGAAGACATATTTAAAGACATGCACTGGCACGATGTTTCTAAGTGAAGGTACGTGTGATTTTACCGGGGCTATAATAACTTATATCTAGTTMGTGAAATTTTTAATGGTATAAAAACACATTAATATATGTTAATATAGCTTCGATAACTTTAATTAAACTGGGAAATTATATGTTTATAAAAGTACAGAAAATATATTTAAAAAAATGTATTTTTAATGTACAAAGGCAAATTTTAAGCCCACAATTTTGCGGGGTATTGTTTTTCCTACTCAGTATAGTTCTTCTTCTTCGATATTTTCTTGTCAAAATATTAGCTTCTGAGTGTAGCCTCATTTGCAGTGCGGAAGTGGACACAATTGTCCCCAAACACAGACTGAAAATGATGAAAAACTGAAACCCACTCGATTTAGCTGTTGCAAAAGAAATGGTAGACATTTTTGTCGCGAAGAGTCGTAGTGACTGTTGAAGTTTTAGCGCTTTTAATTTGATCGACTTGCTTTATTTCGACGATATAATACACCAGCTACTCTCCCCCGAGGAAATGAAAAAAATACAAATAAAGAAACAAGGAGGAAAARGTCAAAACGCTTCAGGGAATATCGAACAACCATTACTGCCATTCCAAGCAATTATATCTTGGATAATAACTGCTTTATATAATATAGAAAACGTTAAATGGACCAACAGGGATTGTGTTTAAAAAATTAATTGTAATAGATAGGGGACATCGCAACAATAGATAAASCGACTGAATGTTTGTTGGTGAACATTATAAATTGATGAGATGCTTCTCAAATAAAAGCCGTTCTTTTATACAGTGACAGGAGTCGGAACTTTGTAAAAGTTGCMAAAAAAATTAATATTGCGACTTAACCTATTTCGAGAGAATGTAACTCTCTTGGCGTCACAATGAATTGTTAAATTCATTTTTTACATTTATTGAAATAATTTTTATTATTATTGTTATTTTTTATTATTATTTTTTTTTGTCACTGAACAATATGCGCGCGCCAGAGTACCACCACAGTTCTCTTAGTTTGTTTGAAATATGGAATGTGACTCTCTTGACACGTTTCGTAAGGCAAGACTGAGGCTGCTCAGTAGCGTTCAGAATAGCAAATACTGATTTTTGTTATAGCTCAATTCTAACACGCGCGCTGATTGGCGGATTTCATGAGAAAAGTTGCGTGCTTTGTTTCGCTGGTTAACCAGCCGGCTGTCTTGAAAGACTTTCGAGTCTAAACGGCGGACGTMAGCTATAATATAAAAGCAAGAAACGATAGCTTGAAGCGGTTTACTGGCGAAATAGATCGCTTTGGATGTTTGGGAAACACTCGGCTCGTGATTTACAGATCTTTTCTCGTGTTCTCCCAACCACCCTGCCGCTTCAAGCTATCCAAGTGAAGTTCAATGGTACTGGTTAGATAAAGGCCTATAAGGTTGATATATCGTATCAAAGAGGTCGACATCTTTACCTAACAAAGACTCTATTGAAATCTAGTTTTGCCGTGTTATAAATGATAAACTTSTAACATTGTTTTTGAAATGAAAATAATTTTACAATGACAACCTAGTTAACCGTCGTTCTTGGATAATTTCTTCATCTATGCAGTGCGAACAATGAAGAGTAAGGCGCTTTGYTATATGCGTGGTATAATGAATGAMAAACACATTCGGCTTACACAAGATAAAACATTTGAYATTTTTTTGTTTGATATTATAGTGCATTTTACAATGAGAGTCCCTCTGGCTATCTCTTTTAATCTAGCTGTACTCTCTTCACTGCTTTCTCCTTTGAGAGCCAGTCCAAGAAAATGTGGTGTCTCCATCAATGATTTGGCTCTYCGTGGACATGTTACCGAAGCAATTCAAGTTGATAATATTCACTTYTGCAATGAAGAGTGCAAAAAGAAGATCGGATGCATGAGTACCAACTTTTATCGCGATAGCATGCTGTGTGAGCTTAATAACAGGACGATTGCAGCAAAACCACACCAGAAAGCTGTTCACGTTGGTGCAGCGTATTTTGATCGACTAAACCCTGGTAAGATTGAATGCATGAATGAGAAAGTAGATGGAAAGATGTAAGAATAGTCTGGACCTCTTTTCTACTCGCTGAGGATAMCTGAAGAGTGTATGCAAGTGATACTGGACTCTTTCACATCGAGTCCTGAAGCGGGTTGAAAGGAAAAGATAGATTGATGAATCGCTGGAAGAGTAAATTGATGGTTAATGATTGATGGATGATTTGATGGAGAGTTGAATGGATAATTCAAGAAACAATTTTTTAACAAGTTGTTTCGCTGTGTAATTATACCCCAGTTTCATAGAAAAAAAAG